GAGGACCCCGACCCGTGAGTTTTGATTTTGGGGACTTATATACATGAATTTGACACACTGTCCACTGGTCTGTCTATACTCTTTCTCTACATGCTCATTTTGTGCTGTGATTCCTTTAGGAAAAGCTGCGATCCTGCAGGTAAAATCGTGGCATTCCAACAGTGCCCTTCCCTGGACTTCCTGATTGGTGAGATCAGCTTTGTTGCATTTGTCTTGGCCATGCACTGGAGTCCTCAAACCTTCAGTGGACACTGTTCTGGTGGTTGCTATGGTGACACCATCACCCTCTTCCATGCTAAGAATACTGCACGACATCACTTTTCCTTTGATATTCATTCTACTGGCAGTGGGGCATCCCATATAGAGTGAATTGTGGCCTCAGCCACCTCTTCTTAGGAGATATGTAATCATTTTCTTTTGTGGACTTCTCATTCATCACCCTGGTCATTTAGCAAGTGAGAGAATTATTTTCCAGCCCTGTAGTATGTAAGTGACAATGGCAGGGAACCAGTACCATCGTTTGATGCTGCTTTTCCCAACAAAGTACCTTTTGATAGGTCTCCCACTACCTCAGCAGCTATTATGTATAGTAGCTGCCCTCTTCCTATGGTGCCTTGCCCCCTCCCCTGTGTGACATCACGCCAAGACGGTTGCTCCCACCAAAGAACAAACCCTTCTTCCCAGCATGCCCCTGTTCCCACCTAGAGAGTAATCTAATAGTCACTCACCTCCTACCACCTAGAGACCCCACTGGCTCCTCCATTCCCTAGCCACTACCTCACTCAACCCCACCTCAGCTTCTACAAGCCCCTCCCCCACTCCTATAAAAGACACTTGCTGCCCTGGCCATATTGCTTTTTGTCTCTCCTTCGTTCAGAGACAGCCCGGCAGCTCTGTTCCCTTAATAAAGGCTTGTTGTGGCCTGGTCTGGTCTTGGTTTTCGGCCTTTTACCTGACACCTTTGTCTTCTGGCTGACCCAAAGGCAAAGTGAAGAGTCCATGGCAGTTACTCTGCACTGTGGGGAGCTTTCTTTGTCATCCATCACTTTATAGGTGAGGGGTCCAAGTCCCAGAGATGCTATGTCTCTACATTCACTACTCTTTTCCTTTTCTTGCCTTTCACACATAGATGTGAACTAATAGTTGTTCCATTGTGTTTTTCTTTTTAACTAATGAAATATTTCTTTCTGTAATTTTCCATTGAATATTTCCATGCCATGGTTGACCATGGGTAACTGAAACCATTGCAAACCAAACAGTTCTCCAAACACTTGGTTATTTTTGTTGGAGCACAGTTTGCTGCAGTGTTCTTTGGGCCAACTGGGGTGACACAAGTGTTGTGGAGGGTCTGTTTATTATGGTTCTGTGTCTCCAGACATTGCTCCATGCCCACCTTAGGCTCTTGACAATCCTCAATGATCAACCTAGGAGAATGCTCCAGAAAGATGACATGGTTCTCCACAGCCGTCCCCTGGCTAGAAGCCAAGGTCATTCGTGAGGTGGGAGAAATTAGGTGCACTACTGAGTCTGGGAAGATCTTCTCGCCTTGGCCTCTGAGACAGCCCTTAACCCCACACCCACACTCTACATCCCCACTCTCCTCAAGAAAGAACTTTTTACTATAAGCTAGTTGGTCAGAAGATGGGAGGAACTTTTATCCCTAAAGAGGCATCTTGCTGAGAAGATGATTCAGAGGCAGTGTATACAGAACATGGGTGATATCAGATGAGTCCATGCTTTCTCACAAGCAGAAGCTTGGAAATGACGCACATCTTATCTTAATCATCTAGTCACAAGATGTTTTCCAGTTTTGCAAATCTCAAGATCAATAATCATTATTTCTCCAGGCGATTCTTATCGTTGATTAGTTTGCCCATAGGCAGTGGACAGGCTACAGGGGGCAGCTGTGCCAAGGCCCTCTTGCTGATCACCAAACTCACAATATTGGAAGAAAATGTACTTCCCTTGATTTTTGTGAAAGGGTCACATGAAGTTTCTAGGAGTCAGGCACAAGATCAGGTCTCAGTGCTTGGCTTCAAAACAAATATGTTATTGAAGCCAAACTTATTGCTATCCCTCCATACAATAAAAACCTCTTCCATGGTCAAATGAATCCACTGGTTTTGCCCTGAAATTGAAGTCTGGACATATGTGGATATTAATTCTCTTTCTCACTTTCTTTTGCTGCTTAGCAGATTAGAGAGGCCTCCCTCAAGAATCTAAGTGAAATCTAAGTACTGACTCAAGAAAACCCACAAAGTGGTAAACTGATGTGCTCAGCAAACACAAAAAAGCTCCCAACAAATAATCAAAATGCTGCAGAATCATGTGTATCTGCTGACTGTAAATCTTGAATCTGTTCCCCTATTGTCTTTTCCTTCTTTTTTTGTTTTTGTTTTTTTGTTCTTGGTACCTCATGTTAGGCAAGCACTCTTAATACTGAAATACAACCCCAGCACACTTCCCCAGTCTTCAAACATACATGATATGCCCAGACCGATTCATTTCTTAGACTCTGGACCAGTGATTCTCAAAGTGATATCCCTGGGCCAACAAGAGCCTGAACGACACAGTGAGACGTTGACTCAAAAACAAAACAAAACAAAAAATCCCCATTTGTCATTATTTTTCTCTGTGCCCCTACCAGCCCAACTGTGAATTCTGTGTGGATTCTATCCTAGGGAGGGATGTAGTCATCACCCTCCCAAGGCCTAGGAATCCCATAATTAAAATGAGCAATGCTCCAAAATAACCTCATTCCCTTACATGTCCCATAATGGTAGTCTCTTTGTCACCAACAAAAAACTAGAGAGATGATCTCTCTCTAGTTTAGAGGTCCCTGTCCCCTCTGTCTCATGCTATCACAGATTAACTACCCTTTGCCCAAAGGAGGTTTAATGTCTCAACATGGGAGATTTTTTGGTTAATGCCTGCTCAATAAGAATGCCAAAAAGATAACTTTTATTTGGGCTGTCCCAGTCACCATGTCCCATTTCCTCTACCAGTTCAGGAGCCTTGCTTTCCAAAGCTTGAACTCCTAGAACACCTGGCCACCAAATCCCAGTTCTACACACCTTGACTCACCTGTCTGTCCCTGATGCCCCCAGGTCCAGGACTCTGAATCCACAGCCATTCACAGGTCCACTGCTTCTGCTCCTGGTGAGCACCTCAGGGACAGCAACCTTTCTTCCTCATTAGCAGGTAAACCGGAGCCTACACACTGTGCAGGATTCCTTTTATTTTAAGGCTGTGTGGCTTCCTTGTGCCCTTTTACCAAACTTTTACTCTGGTTCCTTTATTTCCCCACTCTTCTAAAGCCCACCCACATTGTTCTTTCCTAGAGCTTCATTGTGGTATAATCATATAATAATACCTTACGTATATAGTTTGATGATTTATAGTACATTTAGAGTAGTGCATCCATTGCCACAATTTAACACATTTCCATCACCCTATTCTGGTTCCTTTTTGGCAACAACAGGGACACCTGGGACATCTCTTGCCATTGCCTGAGAGAGATGAGTCCGGAGCTAGTTCATTCGAAGGAAGAGATTTCTTTGCTGTTCCTACCAATACCTTACTCTCCCCCTAGACTTGGGCTGCAATCACAGCCTTGGCCTTGACCCTTAAGAGCACTTTTCTGGAGCACAGAGTGGGAGGACAGGTTGAAGCTCACCCAGGCCTCTCACAGGTCAAACCCACTCTTTATGCGAAATTGCCTGTTGTATGTGTCTGGGGGAGGGTGGTCAGGAGAATTCCAGGAGTCAGAATGCTGCCACCTATGAGCCACATAGCATCAACAAACTAACCTCCTAGAGCCTGTTTGCTCACAAGTAAAATAGAAATCAAAATAGTACACTCCATGGGGCTGTTGAAAGACATGAATACACTGGTCCCTCAGTTCCATGGGAAATTGGTTGCAGGACCCCATGGGGATATCAAAATCTATGGATGCTCAAAACTTTTATATAAAAGGTGTAGTGCTTACATATAAATTCTGAAGGCCTTTAGATCATCCTTAGATTATTTATAATATCTAATATGAGTAGATGCCATGTAAGTATTTGTTATACTGTATTGTTCAGGGAATAATGACAGGATATGTCTATATGTGTTCCACTGTGTTCTTGGCAGACATTTTTTCCCTAATATTTTCCATAGAGAACTCAAGGAGGGATGACTGTATCGTGTTCACGGAAAGTTCAGAAAGTACCAGTCACATTTTCAGCACTTTGTAAACGTTACCCACGATCTCTGGAGTTTAATCAAATTTTCACAGGACTGTCACGGTTCTCCAGAAAAAAATGCAGAACTCTCACCACCTAGAGTCTGGAAAACACCATCCAGGACACAGTGCCATGGGAAGCCCCTAGACACTCAAGAGCATGAAGATATGGTTGGGAATCCTGGGGAGCCAAAGCCCGGAGAGTCACAAGTGGGGAGGGAGAGAGAAGCAGCTGGAATGAAAGTCCAAGAGCGGGGGCAGGAGGAAGAGCAGAAAACTAAGGGTTGGGGCCCAGTGAGCGGCAGGAGCAGGTTGGGTCCTGCACAGATGGAGACTGAGCAGGAGTCAGCAGCCAGAGACAAGGGCAGGTGAAATCTGAAGAAGCTTCTGACAAACCTGGGTCTTTATGGGCTCTTTAAAATCTGCAAGTCTCTGTTCTTCACAGAGACGAGCCAGGCCCAGACACTTGGAATATAATAATAAAGACTGGAACTACAGAGCCACAGGCAAGGGTTTGTTCAAAACCTGCTTTGGCTCTACCTGGGTTCAAGGTCCTGCTGGCAGCCCAGCTGCAGCAGCTGGAGACAACACTGCTAAGGGAGTGTTTGGGAATGGTCTGGTGCAGTGATGTTCCTCAGGTAGGACTGCTTCCTTTGTTCCCTATATGAGGAAGCAGATGCTGCCACAGGGAGGGAGAGGCCAAGGGCACTGGCATTGCTGCTCTCTATTTGGGCATAGCCTTCTGACCTCCCCCCACTCAGACAAGTAGCCATCCTTTATAAAAACGCAACACACATTGGGTTTTAATGAGAAAATAACTGTATACTTGCATTGAATGCCTCACAATCACTATAAAACCAAAGCAGGATAATAACATTTAAGTGGTTAACATACACAGGAAAGCTAGATACAGAGTATAATTTTCAAACACAGTATTGCTCCTTTTTTTCCCCTCCTCCAATAAAAAAGAAAGAAAAAGTCATCTAGGTAAAGAGCAACACAAAATCAAAATTGGCAGCTCACTGAATGCTTAAAACTCAGGAAATTGGTTCTGTAACTGAAACTGGGTATATTCACCATCTCTAACACTTATGCTATTTTTTTTCAATACATAGTTTAAATCCATTCTGTAGTTGGTGTTTAAGAGTCAACACTGTTTTAGTGTTCCTTGTTATTTTTATATATGTATGTATGTGCATATATATATATATATATATATATATATATATATATATGGACACTGATCTATATACTGCTTCTATGTCATTGCCAAGGCGGGGAGCATGCACGGGAATACAGAGGCAAGGAAATTGCATTGTGTCATCCAAGTAGAACACACCCCAGCCTCCTGCCACTGACAGACCCTGTTTCCATAACTTCTGGATGAGAAAGCCAAGGCATGTCAGTAGTAAATCGGCTCCGGAGGAAACTGAATGTCTATGAACACTGCAGCATGGAATACTTTTGGGAAGGCTTTAACATCTACAGGATCTAAATATATGTTGTAGCTAAGATTAACAAGCTGGCGTGCTATTGGAGGATGTGGCTGAGCCTCAGAGGCAAAGTCATTCATAAACCTCTTAGTCTCTACGAATTAGGCAGGAAGGACTTTCCTCCAGTCTTCAGAAAGCTACAGGGGTTCATGTGGGATCCTAGAGCCTAGCACAGTGCTATGTCCAAAGCGGTGTGGCCCAATATGTCTTGAATGAGTAAAAACCCCAAGAGACAGAGAAAATCTGGCTCTCTCGAGGGAACTGTAATTTCCATTTCATAGGAAAAGAATGGGAGTATCAGTGAGCAGAGCACAGAATTAGACAGCAGTCATCCAGAAGGCAGTTTAGGGGAACTGGCAAAAGTTGAAAATGTAGAACAGTTTTGTTACTGGGGGAGGAGTCACAGAAATCTTATTTGTTTCCTCATCTACACATGGAACAGGGCCCCGCAGGGCCCTGGCCCTATAACTCTGTTATTCCTTAAGTAATGTGTGCTTCTGGTTCAATCAAGTGTAATCAAAGCCCACTTCATCTGCCACCAAAGTGACTCCATGAACTGCGTGGCTTCCTAAGCTTTCTTTTCTGCTGCCAATTCACTTCTCAACTGTAGCTTTCATGTGGGTATATGGTCCCCTTCCAAACAGAAAAGAAACGGTTAAGTTGCGAGGCTGGTTTCCTCTTGTGGAAGATGGGGAGGTACTCTCCATCCTGTCTGCGGTCTCCAGCCGATCCATGGGTCCATCCAGAAAACACAAAGCACATTTTACTTTTTGTGCATCCCACAAAACTGTCCAGCTCTCCAGCCATCCTTGTCCCAGGGCCTGGGCCCACACAGCGCAGCCGCCTTCTCTATTCTGACCCTGTGTCTCCCTTCCAACACCTGTCATTACTGTGACTTCAGCCCAGGCACCCACCCGGGACCTCCAGGTGGAAATCCTGAGATACATATCCTTTCTGGGTGCTCCCGAGTCACCTGGCAGGACTTCTAATCTAACACAGATGCTATTTCTCTGGGAATGTTGGACACCATGCTAGCCTCCCTCACTATCAAATGAATTCCTTGCAGCAGGGATCTCATTTGTTTTCTGTCCCTGGTGACTAGTATTTTGTTGAATATTCAGAAGAACCAAGCATCTACAGATAATGCCAACTGCCCATGTGCAATTTTGGCCACGGCCTGCTGAATCTAGCACCAAATTACAGGTGCCCTTGGCAGCTTTAACGCTTCTTTATAAGTTATCAAGCAGTTCCATCATTGAACTGAGTGCTTGCCACTTCTCTGTGAATAAATTCTCCCCCGAAGTTAACACTAGTCTAATAGAAAGACAAATATAATGTGTGTAACACGACATACAAATGCTGTGGAATTACTACTTATTGGAATAACATATTAGAGCTTATGACATAATAATATGAAAACAAATCTGAATTTTAGTGAGGTCTTATTTAATTATTGCTTTTTAAAAAACCATAGTTTTAAAACAAAGGAAAAATAACGAAGGCTGGTTAGTTGTTTTTTGTTTTGTTTTCTCATGGCCTGAAATTGAACATTTTCTCATCCAGAAATGTAGGGCACCCAGTTAGTGAATGCCCTTATCATATTGCTTTATATGACAGAAAGAGTAAAGCTGGCGTCTTCTATAGTATACTAAGCATGAATACAAAGTATGAGAATAAATAGGATATATTCCTACATGTCAAATTACAAAACTGCTCAAAACTTTGCAATTGTGACTCATGCAAATAACATGTTAGGTCAATTTAATATTACAAATACTGTATCAGCTCGGTGCCTCTATATCCCTTTTCATAAAAAAGAAATTCTCACTCACTCCCATAGCTGGCAAATAGCTTTGGAGGAAATAACTGTACACCCAGGTGCCACAATCAATCTGGAAATTTAACAACACACACACACACCCCCTTGTGAACATACACTCTTTACACAAATGCACAAAGGTGTACACATACCCATCCCATCTTTAGGATTTGTAGATGATTCCAAGCCTGCACTTAAATTTCTCTGTCTCTTTATCATCCTGAAAACACTGATTGCTCAGAAAAAAGACAATAATCTCTGTTCCTTCCTTATTTCCCCATTCTTTCCCCTCCCTCCCTTTTTCTTTCTTTACCTTCATGACTTTAATGTTTCCTTTCTGGTTGATTCAAAACAACCTATTCTTCTCCTTATTACCTCTAAGGCCCATTTTATAATACAAAATAGCTATAAACACCTTTTTATTTCTTATCACCTAGCTCTCTAAGGCAGAGTTTGCGCTTTTTTCAATTATTGCCACTCTAAAATTACCCCTACCATCTTGAACGAAGCTGTTCAATGTGTACAGATTTTATCCATGTTTATGTACCCCTATCCCATCAAAAAATAGTTGTTGCCCACTAAATATAGTTTTCATATGAAGAAACATAATTGTGAAAATGTGGTCTCCTAAACTGCAGATCAGTCAATAGTATAAGCAGACAAGATCCTAAAGCTAAAATAATCCATTTGGTTTGGCTTTCTTCCCCCATCTTTCTCAACCTCCTAGTGCAGAATAGACTGCATCTGCAATGTGAAGAAATACTTAAAAATATGAGTTTTCATGTATTGCAATCATTGATTGTTCCCAATTAAAAGTAAGTGTAAGAGAAACCAAATCACAGCTGTCTCTTTTGGACAACTATGGAGAGAAACACCACTGATTTTATGGCCGCTGGAAAACAGTGTAGTCAGCACTACACCACTGATGTCATGAGCCAGGAATAGGAAGCTGGCTCAGAGAAATGTTCTATTGCTGTGCAGACTACACAGCCTATTGCTCTCCGAATGGCTCTATCACTACTGTGTTTCCCCATCAGCCAGCAAGGCTGTCTGTGCTCTGCCTACAGCAACTACGTTGATTTGCTTCTATTGTCTTTGCTCTTTTGGATCAACTGGAGAGTAATCCAAATCCAGAGTCATCTTTGAGTCCCATAGAAATCCTTTCTCTTACGACTCCTGGGTCTCAGAGTTTGATGGGTAGACATTCTTTTCACTTTATTTTTCAACATTGTGTATTGCAGCTTCTGGTCTACATTAGGATTGCTGAGTTTGTATGCACTTTCATAAATAGTCCATTATTTGATTAGAGAATTTCTTGGTTTCTTGGTATTCCAAGCACCAAAGAAGTTTCCTGGGCAGAAGGAAATTTATTCGTTGTCTTCCTCCTCCTGATTGGCGTAGATCCCTGCCTCCCAGCGCAAGGCCAGTGCGCTCTTTCTTCGGTTTACTCGTGTGGCCTCAAGGACCTGAAAAGAGAGAGGGGGAAAATTATGCAGCGTTCACAGATGTTAATTATGTACACAAACCAACTTCTTCTGTTGCCTTTTTTGTTTTATTCCCTCCTTCTACAGCATCTACATGAAAGTAAGGAAATACCTAGTACTACTAGGGGTGGAGGGCTGAGCAGGAGACAAAGGGAAAAAAAGAGCAATGGGAAACTCTGGGTATACATTTATTTCAAAGCCCAAATTTATTCCATGTTTGGCTCCTAGTTTTCAATGTAGAAGTGTTTTGTTTTTGTTTTGAGTTACTGGGGATTGCATCCCCAGCCCTTTCTTCATGTTTTATTTTGAGATGGGATCTTGCTAAGTTTCCCAGGCTGGGCTCAAATTTGTAATCCTCCTACTTCAGCCTCCCAGAGCACTGGGATTTCAGGCATGCACCACCATGCCCAGCTGAGAGATTTAATTCTTACAAAGTATTCTGCACATTTCTCTGAACCAGACTTGGCTCTGCATTGAGTCGGTTTCCCTCTACCTGGTAGTGATGCTGGTATTCCCTGTACTTTGTGCACGGTGCCCAAGTGCTCAGATGAAGCAGATTGCTACACACTATCCAGTCCTTTGTCCATGCTGAGAGATGATGAAATTGCTCTGTCCATGCCATCCACTATACAGTCTCTGCACACATGTAGCTACTGAACACGAAACAGGCCCATATGGCTGAGAAACTTAAGTATTTAATTTTTAACTTAGTCAAGTTTAAATAGCCCCATTTGGCTGGTGACTATAATATTGGACAGCACAACTACAGATCCTCTTGGTCTCTTCCTAAACAAACAGATCAAGAAGTAATTAGTAATTACTGGACCAGTGTGGATTCAATCCACTGAGCTTTGTGCATCTGCATATACTACGATTTTTATATAACAAAAATCTACTTTGGCACGGTTAAGCACAAAGTCGTTAAGTGAAAAAAAATAGCTTTTCAGGTCAATAAAAAGCAATCTCACATTTTGATGTAACTTCAGGGCCACGTGTATAAAAATTAAAGCTTAGAATACTAAGGAAAAGTAGGCTCTAGGTGGGAGCCTCTCTTCTGTTCCCTAGAATGATCTGTATGTAGACTCCTAAGAGGAGACTTAGCTCATTCATTCCAGCTTTAGTTTGATTAAGATGAGATCCAGATGAATGAAATGTAGGTGGCCAACACATGAAAAGTGGTCCTAGGTCATGACACTGTAGCAAAAGCAAGCCTGTGCATCCCAGCCAAATACTCTGGCATTAGCTTACCTTGTAGCATGTCTGATTTTAAAGAAAAGTCTAGTACAGCCAGCCCAGCTTCATTTTCCAAACTGTAATAAAGACTTTGCATAGTCTAAAAATACTGATTTAGGCAAGGGTCAGTGATACTGGCCACTCCAAGGGAGCAGGGAGATACAGGTCATAGCAGAGATGAGAGGACAGGTGTAAGAGATTCTGTGGAAAGGACTGGGGTTCCATCTCAACCTACTTCCCCGTGCCATTGCCCAGTGAATGGACTATTGAGAGCCGCAGGGTGCTCTCCGCCTCAGCACGGACCCCTTGATCTGAACTGGAGAGCGCACCAGCTTGTGTCTGCTGAACAAATTATGCATTATTAGGCACCTAAATCATGTCATCAAGCGGCTTGTGGATCATCACCACACTATGGTCATTTAATGTCTAAGCATAACACATGAGTCAGAAAATCATATAGTTAAATGAAGGATTTTTCTGGCTGGTGGGTGGTAGAATGGAACTGAGAAACAACACTGGGCTGTATTTCTAAGGGCTTTGCATTTTGTTTTTTTTGATTGGTTTTTGTTTGTTTGCTCGTCTGTCTGTCGGTTTATTTTGAGACAAGGTCTCTCTCCCAGGCTGGCCTTGAACTCATCATCCTCCTGGCTCCTCCCAAGTACTAGGGTGACCACTCAGTTCCTATTTTCTGTTTTGTCCCTAGCTGTCTATCTTGTATTTCAAGTTTCTTTATCAACAAAATGGGAACTGTACCTGCCCTACTTTACATGATTTTTCAGGGAGTGGTATGGACTCTGGTGCCCAGCCAGGTTTAAATTTAAATCCTAGTGACTATGTGACCTTGGAAAAGTCACCTAACCAGTGCCTTAGTATCCCCATGTAAAATAATAAAAACAATAGCACAGGGTTGACCTGAGGAATAAATGAGGTAATATATGTAAAGTACTGAGTATCGTTCCAAATGCACAGTAAGTTTTTAATTACTTATATCATCATGTGAAAGGATTTATAAAACATGCACTAGAATACAAATATGAGGGATTTTTATAGAAATTCTACATTATATAAAAATGGTCATCTGTTTGCCTTTTAGACTGTATATACAAATTGAAAGCTGTCTATGAAAGCTGAAAATAGATCTAATGTTCTGAAAAAATAGTCCCTGTCTTTTGCAAATATTCCTTGGCTTATTATTAAATCCTGTTTTAATGCCCAGTCAGGTTTGCTCTACTCTTCAGGAGGCTATGTTACAATCCATCTGTCCATCCACCTTAAAAATATTTACGGGTCCCTACCAAGTATCAGGCCTATTCCTTCATGTTGCAGATAGAATAGTCCCTTTCCTCATGGGGCTTAGTTACAAAATGTCTAATGGGCAGAAAAATAATATAATTATGGAAACATTTAGCATAACTTGGGTTTGAACATCTAATAATAAAGAGCCCAAATAATTCACTTATTATACCAATAATGACCTCTCTTTCTTAATTCATTCCCACTAATTTGTATGGCCACTTATGATCCTGAATTTCTGATGATATCTAAAGTTCCCTCATAATGCCACAGATAAGAAAATAAATGAATCTCTATTGAAACAGCTATAACCTTAGTAACCAAGGTTTGTTTATATCTTATAAATAAAAAATAATCAACAGTCAAATCTATAGCTAAGTATAATTATTTTGCTAAATAGTGATATATATTTAAAATGCATATTATGCTATAGGTTGGTACAATCGATTTGAAGAATCATTTGCAATAGTCACTGACTGTGACAATGTACAAGCCCTATACCCAGTTCTAGGGAAAGACACTGTTCTATGGGTAGGTAAAGAAACATATGCAAGAAGATTCACTGAAACATCATTTGTAATGACAAACAATAACAACAACAAAAAACATGGAAACAACTTGTTTCCATCAATAAGAGAGTGAATAGTCACATAGTCATTCAGTGGAGTACTACATACCAATACAATAAATGCACTAGAGCCATAGATATTAACAACAGCACATCTAAAAACAATGCAGACAGAATAAAGAACAGAAGATACTACAATATGGCTTACCAATAAATGGTAAATGGTTTTAAAACATGCAAAAATGTAAAATGTCATTTCTGTATACTTAAATATATGGTACAAAAACATGCATGGAAATGAACACCAAGGTCAAAAACAGTTACCTCTCAGAGAAGGAAAAAGCATGTGACAAAGACAAAGATGTGAAAACTGGGAGAAGTAAGGAGAGGGCTTGAACTGTATTTGCAACATTAACTTCTTTTGAAAATATTATAAGAATGAGCAAAGCTGGCGAGGTGGGTTTTATTGTTTCAATATAGTATAGTATAGCATAGCATAGTATCAGAAACATTACACATCAGCTCCATGATATCAGGAAGTTTGTTTTGTTGATTGGTGTATTCTTGGAACCTAGAATAGTACCTGACACACAATAGAGCTTGATGAAGCATTAGCTGTATACTTCAAATAATTCTTTTAAAATAAAAACAAAATTCCATAGAAATAAAAACACAAAAATAATGTGCTTTCTCACAGCACACGTATTTGTGAAACCTGTGTAAAAGGAAGTTATGGGGGGAGGAAGGAAGCTTTTGGGGAGGCCGTTGCTTAAGAAAGCTTCCAGAAGCTGGGGATTTAGCTCAGTGGTTCCGGCACCTGCCTTGCAAGTGCAAGGTCCCGAGTTTGATCCCCGGTACAAAAAAAGAAAAAGAAAAAGAAAAAAAGAAAGCTTCCAGAACAAAAATACAGATTTCAAGACTAGAGGGAGGGGAGACTGAGATGGTTTGCGTTTGGAATAACTCATCCTAAATCCACGGAATGGAGTTCTCTGGATTTGTGCTAAAGTAGCAAAGGACTGGTCGGAATCAATAGCTCAATCTGCATGTGCTGCACTGTTTTCTAACCAGCCCAGAGTACCTGTGTTATCAATGTGTAAGAACCTGAAGGACTCCCCGCAGCCCATTGGTTGTGCCCTCTAGTTCAAACATCTTCCAGATCCGGGTATGGGCAAAGCCTTCTTCTCCAGTCCCACCTCACCGCAAACACAACACCATGTCTCATTGCTGGGGGGCTCCAGCATTCCGAGGCAGTCCCCCAGTTCAGAAAAGCTGGGAAGAAATATACAAGGAGACAAGCCGTTTTCCTTGCCATTCTCATTTAACACAACAGGAAATGGCAAACCATGACAGCATGCACCTGGATTAAGCATGCATTCAGACCAAGACAGACAAGTTGAAAAGTACCTCGGAAGTCACCTTGCAAGACAGTAACTTAGAGGTGTACTGGCAGAGAGGGAAAAGACCAGGGTTAGTACATGGCAGACACGCTCACAGAACACCCCCAGCTGGGAACCAGCCCTGCGCAGGGGTGAGCAGGAGGAGAAGGCTCCACAGGAGACCCTTACACATTCACGCCAAGACTTGCTTCATCTGATATTCATTTACAAGTCTGTATCTCTTAGAGCAAGTAGACACCCTGTTATTCATTAATAAAAATATCAGATAAGCCATACTTTGTTAATTCAAGATGTTGCTTTCATTTTCTGCACTTTGAATTAACAAGAGTCCTTCCCCTCTGCATACTACCAGCTGCCCGCAGCAAGATTCTTGGCAGCCTTTTGGGATTTACTGAACTCTCCAAACAAACAGCTTTTTTTCTTTCTGTGGGCCTCTCTGAAACTTAAAGCAGTCTTGCAGTCCATTGTGCCTTTAAAGGAAGACTTTAATCATAGGCAAGAGTTGGCTTGAACACCAGGTTTGTGGAGGCAGACGTTCTAAACCTGACCTAAGGATGCCCTGCTCGGGGTGGCCACACAGACTCCCATGTCGAAACCTGGCAGCCTGACAAAGTTTCCAGGAGTGGGATGGTCTCTTGATGATCATTTAGTATTAGTTCCTGTAGAAAACCAGGTCTGCCACAAGTAAAGGACAGAAGAACATGGCCTGATAATGGGAAACTAAACAGCAGGTCCAAAGTGGGTGGCTGCCTCCAGATCTATTACTAACAACTTCACATTCAGACTGCTTAGGATGGTTGGGCACTGCTTGGTTATGGGCACTTGTCACAGGCTCATTAGGCAGCTCACACATCTGTGATCATCAACTACTTCTTCTGCAGCACTTAAAATGTACAGTTGTGTAGTGATCAGGCTAATAGCTGGGGGATGATGAGTTTGGGGTGCTCCTCTCCTTTGCACCTTCCCTATGGTGTGAGAACCCAAGAGAGAACTGGAACCTCAAAGCATCACTGATTGTGGCTGAGCTTTCTAAAGAGCCTGGGGAGGACAGGGGCATTAGGGGGCAGATGCCTTCATTTACCCACACAGTGAGATGTCCCAGGTCTCAATGCACGTCCTCATCCCAAGGGAATGTGAGCTAGGGATTCTTAGAGAAGCACTAAGTGCCAGCCCCCAGCTTTGACACAAGCCAGGTGACTGCTGAGCTTTGTCTCCTGAAGACAGGCAAAGGGGAATGAAAGACCTCTAGGTCATTAGGTGTTAGAAATAGGGAGGGCCAGGGATTTAGCCCAGTGGTTCCATCGCCTGCCTTGCAAGCGCAAGGACCCAAGTTCGATCCCCAGTACCAAACAAAAAAAAAAGAAAGAAAGAAATAGGGGAGAGGAGATGAAGAAGGGGAGAAGAGGAGAGAGAGGGAGGGAGGGAGATGGAGAGAGAGAGAGAGAGATACTGAGAGTAGAACCTATGCTAGAAGGGAAGAAGGGGCTGAGCACCCAGGAGACTGTGATTTGAACTCAGGCCAGCATCCCTTCAACTGAGGAAGGGGAAGCAACCTACCATATTTAAAAGCATCACTGACATGGTGACCCATCTAAGGCTCCGGTCAGGTTGGGGGAACTACTGTCCAGAAGAATAGTGTGTACCTAAACACAAGCATGCAACTCATAATGGACTAATGAATCAGTTTCCTATAGGGCTTCTTGGTGTCTTCAGGAAAACAATCCAAGCAGTCCATCATTTGGCTACTCTCTAGTCCAGATGTCTTCTAGGTCTAGCGTGGGCAAGGTCTTCTCCAGCTCTAGCTTCAAGGCAATTCTTTTTCAGGACACCGAAAAGACCTATAGGAAATTATGACTCACCAGCCTGCTACAAGTTGCATGACTGACCAGAGATCCCATTAGACCCAGATAAAAGGCATTTCCATGTAAAGTAACATTTCTAAATAAGAAAAACCCACAGTAAAGGTAGGATTACTGTGTCTGGGCAGTGCACATAAGCACCAGGTTAGAGGGATGAATGGTGCTCTAGCCCAGTGCCCCTTTCCACTTGCCAGCTGTGAGGCTGGTGCAGGGCTGCATCCTCCCAGAGAACAAAGGTGCCTTTTCCTAATTCATACAGAGGTTCTCTAAAGGCTGGTAATTAGCCCTTGACAGGGGTGGAGAAAGAAACTCTCCTTTCTCAAAACTTGGCCAAGAACTCCATTAATAAGTGGGCAGGAGCCTTAAGCAGGGAGGTACTCGGTGATCATGCAGAACAAGGAACCAGGTCCAGGGGAGAGAAAACTTTGATCACTGAAGGGATCACCTTGCTCAAGTTCAGAGCTGGTAATAAGTATGGCGGGGGTGGGTGGGTGTGACTTTTTGAAAAATATTCCTTTTCCTTGACCTTTTTTCACCGACTGTAACACAAGCAGAACATCCACAGGTAGCTTAATATCATCGATGTAGTGATTCCTGGGTAGATATTCCAAGAGACTTGTGGCTTCATTTTCTATCTGTCATTTGCTAAGCCCTTCAGTAACCACCTTGTCTCCAGCAGGAGAGAAAGACAGCTTAGGATGTGGCAAAGACCACCAAATGCTGCACAGCTCCCCTCATATCAGGATTTCATGAGCCAGGGGCCTTCTGGTCTGGCTTGCATATGGCTTTTCATAAAGTGGGAACACTGCAGAGAGCAGGACCCTGAGCTGTGGACAGCACTCCAAAGACCGTCAGTGGTTGGATGTAGTTTGGTTGTGGGGCGCTGAAGCTGATTTGATGGTAAGGATCAATTTTTCTCAGTTCTTTTGGCACAAGTTTCTCAGCAAAACCAAGCATGGCTTTACATGGGATCTTTCCCTTCTTTCGTCGTGCAGACTCATGAATATCACTGTCTAACGCATCACTCTATTTACACATCCCAACTATCTGTTGTTTTACTCTTCCTTCTCCTTGGGAAGCACAGCAAAAAAGAATTCTTTCCATTCAACTTATAAGACTTGTGCTTTCCACAGGCAAGGGTTCTGATTCTGGGGAAGAACCCACAGGTCACAGGTGTGGTTTCTAATCGCCGAAAAGTCCTGCCAAAGTGCTGCCTAGGGGCTCACTGGGAGGAGTGGTGGCCTGTGAGGTGTCAGAGCTGACACTGTGTGATGCAGGGGACCAGCACGGCCCGTGTGATGCTCTCAGAGAGGCTGGAGAATCTAAGAAGCCACATGATGCTCTGAGGTAGTGTATGTGAATGCAGCCAGGAGAGCACAATTACTTTACTTTTAGCACAATTACCTTTAGCTTCTAGGGATAGGGAACAAATCTTTTGTATAAGGGAAAATTAAAGAAAAACAGAGAAGAGGCCACTGAAAAGCTAGGGGTAAAAAGAAAGTTTGTTCATCCCTACAGGTAAACTTCAACACATTTCCTGGCGATTGACACGGATACAACAGAAAAGATCCCCTGTGTTAGAAAGACTCGGGGACAAGCTACCAGGGGGCTCTGAAATCAAGTCTGGATGACGATCGTAGAATTGCTTTAGAAGTCACTGAGTATATTTTTTGAGGTTTGGGTCTCTTAAAAAAGGAGGTAGTGTGGGCCGGGGATTTAGCTCAGTGGTTCTGGCGCCTGTCACGCAAGCGCAAGGTCCGACGATCACCAGGACCAAAAACAAACAAAAAAAAGGAGATAGTGGATTTAGTAGGATGACTGAATAGTTTTTGTCCGAGTCCTAAGAACTTATTTATTTATTTTCCAGTAGTGCGGATTGAACCCAGGGGCTTCACAGTGAGCTACTTCCCCAGTCCTTTCTTCATGTTTTATTTTGAGGCAGTGTCTCACTAAGTCACTAGGTTACCCAGCCTGGGCTTGAACTTGGCCATCTTCCTGCCTCAGCCTCCCAGAGAGCTGGGATTACATGTGTATGCCTCCTAAGAGTTTTCAACAACAAACTTGATTCTATTTACTGTAATGTCAGTAACAGTTCAAAACCCTTGGCCTTAAATCCAAGACCTGGAGATAGTAACAGCTTGATTATTAGTAGGTTTCTACCTTATCTACAATGCTGATTGTTTCAGACAAACTAGAGACAGGAAGTTATCTCTTCATGGTTATTTAAATACTGACTCCACATAGCTTCATTAACCCAAAGGGGAAATCCAACCTGGCTGACATCTGCTTAGTGGGCAGCCTGAGTATCAGAGTCTAGATGTGCAAGGCTTCCAGTCCTCTGCCCATGAAATGACTAAGAGCTGGCTCTTTTCTTCTGTGTGCTGTATTTTTTCCCTCATATCTGCATTCCACCATGAAAGGCACACACAAGAGACACAGAGTGTGCTTAGGATACATTTAAAGGGTCATTCCTTAGGGGTTCGGCTTGTTCCTTCCCCTCCATGCCAAAATGGGAAGGATCCACTTGGCTACTTTCCAGCAAAGCTGGTAATGCATCTGTGAGAGAAAAGAAAAAATACGCTCAAAGCACTGCACTTCAGAATGGCCACAGGCAACCAAACGTACCTAAAGGTGAGCTCTATACCAAAACTGAGCCTGCAAAGCTAAAGTGACTCAGTGATTAGGAAACGTCCTGCAGCTCAGGAAGCAGCTGCTGGCACCCTACCATTGATGCCCAGAGGAAATAAATGTCTATGGTAGCCAAAGAGCGCCAGGCTCCATTCCACTATGAAATACACAGAACCAACCAGAATCCCTCCAGGCTCACATGGCAGCCACACCAGTGCTCTCTGCAGGCTGGGATAAATGCAGGGACAGCTGGGAAACACCCAGTGAGCTGGCAGACTGCTCTTTACGTGCTTGCTTTCTTCTTTTCTTTACTACCACAGATTTTGAAAGCAAATTGCTGTGTCTGGTTTCTATTCTAAATCTGCTGCTTATCCAGCCAGTAAGTCAGCATGATCCTACTATGAAGTGTTCGAGTTTCAGGAGACCAGAGAGTTTATCAACCAAACTAGGAAACATTCAAGAATGAAAGGGGACGCTATTCATAATTACACCAGGACAACAAGCCTAAACAAAGACCTGTCCTGGATAGATGGGACAGTTTCCCAGTCCAACCTATTTGTGCCCTGAGTGTAACTGGAGGAGGGACTGATTATTTCATGAATGCTATAAGACTGGTGCCAGAGGCTCTAGGGTGTTGGCAGGAAACCCTGAGGCTGATCTCAGATTCCTGGGACCATGTAGAGTAACTCTGAAGTCTCTTACTGGACAAGGAAACCACGGAGCAGATGACTGCCTTCCTCCTTCATGTGAACGCCACATGCAAAGTTCTGGGGTCTAGGGGTAGCCCTGTGGCTTCTAAGTGTCATTTCAGATGACTCCTTCCTGCCAAACTACACACACTGGGCTTGGAAACAGGCCAAAACACACTTTGCCTTTTGAGCACTGTGTAACATTTGTAAAGATCACCACAGAGTAGATTTTGAAGGAGCAGCATTTCATGGTTCTCTCTCTAGAGACATAAATTCTCTACAGAGCAAGTCAAGCAGCTCCCTAGTGCCTGAGGAAGCTTCCAGAGTGGCTTTCCTTGTATGAGGTCTTTCTATGCACCAAACGTCCTATGTACCAGCTTTGCCAGTGGGCTTCAGCTCTACTAGGCTCACTGCATGGTCAACATTGTTGAGAAACAGGGCAGAAAACCAAACCCGATGCCAGGTACATTAAGTCACACATTTGAACATTGGTTTTGAACTCATGATGCCAGCCAGACAACTGTATACACATCCATCCCTGAACTGGAATACCACTAGCCATACAGACAGTCACCTTCAGAGGATTGAAAGGAAAGGAGGAAAAACTTACACTACTATCATCCATTCTCTCGCGCCTTTTAGATTTGTGTGTCTCATAGTCTTCCATGAGGGTCTGCATCAGATTCTTGGGCCGCTGGGTTCCGGCAGCCTCTTCAGGGGCTAAGTCAGGCTGCAAGCTGGGGCCTTCGGTTGTGGGGGATGGAGGAGGTTTGATTTTCTCTATTTTCCCTGAAACAACACGAAGAGAACACCCTTTCTAAGCTTGTCTGCTCATGACTGCTTTTGTAAAGAAGAGAAAACTGACATGGGGAGGGGGAGGAAGCAACTTCTGACATCGAAAGTGGTTCCAGAATGATGAGTAAGCTCGGACTATTTTATTACAGGAAACAAAGCCCTTAAGGGCAATCTAGCCAACCAACAAAGACCTCAAAGACACGGGTTCCAAAAAGTCAGTTAGATCAAACTGGCCTGGCAGCCACTTTGGACACATGCATCAGACAGACAGTGGCTCTGGTTGTCTTGGAGACATGTATTCTATCATCCATCAGAGCATTCAACTGTCAGAAGAGGTGGTGCCTGGGAGCCTTACAGACCCACTTCTTACAGACAAGGCAACCCGAGGTTCTGCAAAGAGAAGTCTGTGCTGATCAGATGTCACCAGAGCCAGGGGTGGTAGGTGGCCTTCCCAGCCTCCTCCGTCCTCTGTCACAGGTGGCCCCTGTCAGCTGACCTGCCTAGGCTTTCTGCATGGACAACACGGTATTACAAAACCTTTGAATAAGAATGAGGCTTGTTTTTCCCTGGTCACCCAGTCTTACATGCACCAGCTCCATTCATTTTCCTTACCTGTTGGAGTCCTGATGGCATCTGAGTTTGAGGTCTCCCCAGACCTTAAGAAACAAATACCAACAAAGGCAGTAGAAAGGTGTGTTCCAGATGTGGAATGGTGTGAGTTTAGCTCTTGAGGTACCCTTTGGGAATTCTTAGGATGAGGAGATGAAGCCAGTGGTTAATTAGACAATGGTGAGGGGATTCTGGGCACGATCACTAAGACCACCTTCATCCTTCGCTTTTGGGAAATGCCTGACTCTGGCTTCAGGCCCATCAAGAGGTGGGTTGTAGCACCACAGAGAACTAAACGCACCTCTGAGAAAGTGCAGTAGGAATGATTTTTCTAAGTACACCCTCTGTGGGTGACATAGCTGGAATCTGCAATAAGCAATGCAGGGAAAACATACAAAATAAATGGATCCATTCAAGTTCTGAAGTTTAGACACTGGCAGGAAGGTTACAGTTTCACTTGACCCCTTTAGGTCCCAAACTGAAGGAGACTCACATTTCTTGTCTTATATTCCAGACTGCTCACTTGGCCTCTGCCCGACACAGCAGGAATCACAACAGAAGTCTGGAGCTAGTACTTCTGTATGGATGGTGATAACCAGCTAGAAAGCCTGGTTTTTAATTCCTGCTCTTCTATTAACTAGCAGTAGATCATCATTTAATATGTCATTTTAGTCTTGGGCTGATCAATTATATTCTCCAAGCTTTAACTTCCATAGGGGTTTTGGTAAGAGTTGTCTTTGTGTTTGAATATTTTGCTATTCTTTTTTTGAGACAAAGTCTCACTGTATAGTTCAAGCTGGTCTTGAACTCACTATGTAGTCCATCTTGGCCTTGAACTTATGGTGATCCTCCTACTTTAGCCACCCGAGTGCTGGGATTACAGACGTACACCATACCTGGTGAATATTTTGCTATTCTATCAAATATATTGGGCAAGAAAATCAACCTTTTTGAGTTTCAAGAAAAATGGGGGAAGTATGACCACCACATTTGGGGATTAGGTAGAAAGTAATTTTTAATATACAGAGGGTCCTCCATTTCACAACCACAATTACATTAAAAACTTAGTGAAACTCATTCCTTTGATGTGTATAACCCCTAATAGTGAGATAGTAAATACTCTGAAATCTCCAAATTCACTAGAAATGGTTTCTATTTTTATATGATCCAAAGAGAAAACAGAGTATATGGTTTCCATTTTTATCATGGAAATTAGGGAAGGGTATAATGGCCCCATAAACATTATAAACATCACCTAGAGTTAGCATTTTTTTCCTAAGTGAAAGCAAATATTTTATCTAAATCAGTTGTCAAATCACGATTTATCCAAATGAACACAATGCAACACTGTTCTTAAAAGAAGGGGCACAAATATGACCGAGACAATCCGGTATCAGAACACCATTTGTAAAGGGGCCTTGACAGAGTAAGCATTAAACAAACATCCTTGCTCCTCTTTCCTTCCTCCCTCCCTCCCACATCCCTTCCTCCCTTCTTTCTTCAGACTTACTGAATTTTTAAAAACAATCCCAGACCTAAGGTCATTTCACTTTCACATTCTTAGTGTGCACCTCTAAAAATCATAACTGACTTTTAATTTGAAGGCTTGAGAAACAGTAATGCCACGATCAGGCAAACTTGGGAGGCAGCTTGCTGGGGGGTTGAGTCTGCTTTTCAGCGGCCAAACAACACCGGTCAAGTTACTTACTGTGTTTATGTGTGAAATGGGTATGACAACAGAGACACCTGCCTGAATGCAGTTGCTATAAACACTAAGTTTAATTGCCTTGATTACTGTAGCTTTAGAGGAAGTCTTAAAATTAGGTATTAAATGTCTTCCAACACTGTTTTTTTCTTTTTACTTTTCAAGTCCTTTGTACTCCTACATAACTTTTAAATTTCAATATCCAATTCTTCATTTATAGCAAGTATACATAGACCTGAACTTTTGTATAAACCTTGTGTTTTCTAATCTTGCTAAATTCCAATACAAGTTCTAGGGGTTCCTAGAGATTTCTTAGTATTTTCTCTGTAGATGATCATTTCATCTACATATAAAGATTTTACTCCCACCTTCCCAATCCTATGCTGTTTCTTTTTATTGCCAGACTATTTTGGTTTGGGCCTATGTTTCAAAGTTTAATGGACAGATGAAGAGTAGGCATATCTGCCCTGTTCCCCACCTTAAGGAGAAAGTACTGTATCTTCTCCATTCATATAAGGTGCTTTTGCTGGAAGTATGGAGTACATGTCTTTAATCTGTTGAGAAGGTTCTGTTCTACTTCTAGTCTCCTGATAGCTTTTACCATGAACAGCTGTAGAATTTAGTCCAATACTTTTTCTCCAACTAATGACAGGATCATATGGCTTTTTCCTTTCCTCTGTTAAAATGATGACTTCTGGGGGTGGATCTTCCAATGCTGAACCAACACTGCCATCCCTATAATAAAACCACTTTCTACATACTGCCAGATCTGACTTCTAATAGTCTGTTTTGGTAAACAAATTTTTATCTATGTTCATATTTTTTTCCTCTACTATCTTTTTCCAGTTTTAGGATTAGCACAATGTTGATTTCCTAAAATGAGGGGAGAAGTGTTCCTTCTTTTTTCTGCTTTAAATGTTTGATATAATTTATCAGTTAAAATGTATATGAGCTTGTTGTAGGTTTTCAAGCTAGGAATATACTTTCTTTAACAGGTACTATTCAAATTTTACATTTCCTCCAGACTCAGTTTCATTAATTTGTGTTCCAAGATACTTCTTAGAAGTTGTCAAACTTATTTCAAAAAAGATTTTTGTAATATGCTTTCTATATCATTTTAAATTCTGTAAAATCTGTGATAATGTTTTCTAGATCTTGATATTATAATTTTAAAAATGTATAATTGATATCACGTAATAGGAAGAAAAGGTTTAAAGGAGTAGGGGAAATGGAAGGGGTAGGAGAAAGGAAAAAAGGGAAAAGAAAAAATATGAGAAAAGGAAAAAAATGGAAACAAAGTCTTTGCAAATAGGGAAGGGTGGAGGGGGTGAAGGGAGGGCAGGGGAAGGGAGAAAAATAAGAACCAAGAGACTCATGTAATGGTACAAGATCCCAATGATGAATGTAACTGTATTTTATACCTAAAATGTACCAATAAACTTAATGGGAAAAAATAAATATAAACACTAAGTTAAACATATAGAAAATTAACTTTTTTTTTAGACAAGGTCTCACTATATAGTTTAGGATGGCCTTGAGCTCACTATGTTGCCCAGGCTGGCCTCAAATTCATCACAATCCCCCGCCTCAGGCTCCCAAATGCTGGAATTACAGCATTTAGAACTAAATTTAATATTTAGAACAGAAAGCATCCAATGTGTCTATCTACTCTTTAATTGGAATCTCAAAGAATAATCTGGCTAGGGGGTCAAAATAAGCAATAACTCCCTGTGAGTCATTTTTGCAACACTTCAAAGAGCAGAAATAGACAGCGAGTTGCCCAGCTGATTATCATCATTTTCCATTCGACCTCTCAAGTGTCTAGATCATCTCCTCTCAGTGACTCTTCCAGAAAGCAGAGTCTAACTGCCCTGCTTCTAGCTTCCACAGCACTGGGCTTCACAGTACTGTACGTTTCTATGAAAGCCATTTCCACAGGCTGATGTATCTGGTTATGAGAGGACCTATCTTCTCAGTTAAATGGTAAAATCACCTGATGACAGGCACTATTCCATCTTTCAAGGACTCTCCTTATTTTATGTGGGTGTAAACCCTTTAGGGTAGGGTCTTGGTCATGATGGTCACTGCTGGAACCCGAGGCCAGAGGCAGAAGTTGGTGTGTGTTGGGGAAACCAGTTATTGCATTACACAATATACACAGTGAATGCTTGGGGACTGGGACAGAATTGCCCACAGAGGATCTGGAGAAAGAGTTCAAATGCCTTCGCCAAAGCACATGAAATAAAACATCCTACGGCTACAAAACCACAGACTCAATGGCTTTGAAGTGGTAATATGGTATTTCATTAGTAGCTTTCCTGTCATTTAATCCTTACAATGACCTTGTGACATTTAGGGTGGATGTATGACACCTGAAAATGGCTTAGACATGTAGGCTCAGATGCTAATTCCATCCCAAGTTACATTTGATAGTAACCAGAATTAGACAAACCCGGTGTTGATTATGGCTAAATTATATGTTGGGATATATGATGAAAGAGTGTTGTAACAAGCAAGAAAAGTTACTAGAAGAAGTGGTCAGGCATTAAAAATTAAAGACATTTTTTTGCTAGACAGGGCCTCATTCACGATCCTGCCTTGGCTTCCAGAGTGCTGAGTATTACAGGGATGCACCACTGTACCCAGCTCTTATGCTTATTCCTTATTCTGGCAAAGCAAA